TCTCGAACTCCTGAGCTCAAACAATCCACCCGCCTCAGCCTCCCAGAGAGCTAGGATTACAGGCGTGAGCCACCGCGTCCGGCCTGAACTTTCCTATTTTTTAATCTGATATTGAATGTAAAAATTATTGCCTATTTTATGAACTAATTATGGTATATTAGCATTGTTCTCTGAAAATGTTGTTTTAGAGGACAAAATTTTAATCACAACACTTTCAAATTGATGTAGAAATGAGCCATGCAACATTACTTGTCTCTTGAGAATCTGCTCAGCCCACAATCTATCTCTTAAACTGTTAGTGAACCATTGGGGTGAGCCCCTGAAGGCATATTACAAGACTCCAGTTTTTGTTCAGAGATGATTGTACTAGAAACAAAGCTGAACCAAACACATTCTGATATGAAATCTGGGAATTCTCCTGGGAGAGAGTGTATTGGTCAATTTCTAATGATGGTTGTACCCATGGCAGGTCAATTTAGAGGGTCTGGCATAGCTATACTTTGCCATGCGCTCACCAAGAAGAGAATACTGTAGGCAGATAAAGAGAGAAGAATGAAACACTTTCACAAAAGGAAGTGGAGACTGAGCCTTTGGATGGTGGAAGACTTCCTTCAGTTTATGGTTCAAGTCCCATGTAGCAGCAGTTATTGCCTTAAGGCTTCCTTGTGTTTTCTCAGTAAACTCAGTCCCCCTTGAGTAAGAACAGCTCTAATAGCATGGCTAGGAGGGTTGCAGCCTTATGGTATGTCTCACTAATGCCTTTTGCCACAGGCACTTTTGTTTATAGGGAAACAGGAACTGAAATGAGAATAACATGTACTTTCTAAAGAGTCCCTCTCTTCTCCCAAGCTGTCGTCCTCAGTTTTTTCTCTTGATCATCTGAAAGACTGGCTAATTTCAAAATGAAGAGGTGGTTCTATAAAGCCATCACACAACTTTTAGAAAACTAAGAGAATATAGTTTGCATCTAATATTAAAGACATTATAAAAAATGAAAGTAACATAATAACATCTGGAAAGACTTCAGCAAAAATAAAGTATTAACACTTACATTTTATCCTCCAGGATCTTGCAGGCTTTCCTTAGCTCATCAACTTGATATTCCCAAATCCTTATTGAGTCATGTAGTCGTGCTATCTCTAGATTGTGATCACTAATAACCTATTAAAAATTCAATAAAAATATGCTATACGTCATCACCAAATGATTCATAACAGCAGTTCAATTTCACTAAATATTCATGAATCACTCATTCAACTTTTACATTGGGGCTATCCTTTGGTGAAAAATAAAAGCAATCATTATAATTGTTTCTTCATAAAATAAACTTGGAAAGAAATAATTCTGAAATCATCATAAAAACTCAAAATTTGGAGGGGGTGACCAAATATAGCAGTGAGAATGTGAAAACCATAAAAAAAATCTTTTGAGACAAGAATTCATTTTGTCTACCACTTTTAAAAAATGAAATAAATCCATATTGTCACAATTATCTTCAAAGTATTTTCCCAGGATATTAAAATGAGTATTATTTTTAAAAGTCAGACCAAATTGGGTCCTCTGTCTCAATTGGTAGCTATGTTCATGCCAAAAAGAATTTTTTTCTTAATATTTAATCAATATTTAGGAAATGGAACAATTGGATACTGTGAAAAAAATGTTAGCATGATTCAAAAGGAGGAAAAATTGATGGAGAAAATTCATAGTGAAGCAGATATTTTTGCAATGCAATTTTGGGATAAAGAAAAGGGAAGTCAAACTTATTGAGCCTTAGGTTTACATTTCAGCTTGTGAGGGAGAATGGAGCTAAGAGAAAGCTGATCAAACAAATTCCTCTTCTCTCTGACATAGAGTTACCATGGACAGATCATTTAATGCCATCTAACCCTGGATATCAACATGGGGACAGAGAAACACCTCTGGGGAGTGTAGAGGTGCTCTCAGCCATGCCAGGCGAGAAAGGTGGGTGAAAGCTACTCAAAATGGTTTCTTTCTCTAGAGCACCCATAGCTAGTTCCAAACTCAACAGGGGTCCAAAATCCTAGAACTGCCATCAAAATTAGCAGAATGTTGGAAGGCCTCTGATGAAGTGTCAGGACTAGGGCTATGTGCTAAAGGACTGCTAGGTCTGACATTTGTTATCTCTAGCCCTCAGTGCTCCCTGCCCTGGACATGTGGGCCGCCTTAAGAATCACACACTATTATTCTTTTTTGCCAACATCACATCAGCTTGACCTGGCTGCAGAAACTTCTAAACTAAAGGTATCAAATGAAAGTTAATCTGGTCTTAGTCTATAGTCAAAGTGTTGTTTTCTAATCTCAGCCAATAACAACAACAACTACCAAACGCAAAGCACTGAGCTACAAGCCTTACAGGCATGATCTCATTTAATGTCCACAAAAAGCCTCTGCGGTAGGCAATATTATTACCCCCATTTTAGAGGGGAGGAAACTTCAGGTTGGTAGAGCCAAGATTTGACCCCAGGTCTGTGTGGCACTCAAGTTTGTGCTTCATACACTATTCTCTACTGATTGGAAGTGGGATGGGTAGTTTGGCTTTGGGGAAGAGGGGAAGGACCTGGAGGTGAGTTATGCCTGCCACCTTCCAGCCTGTCTATTTGGCCTTGGAGATCTTTGGAGTACAGGCTAAGGAACATATATTTTACTTTCCCAAGCTAGGTTGGTGGGGTGCTTGATTTATGATTTATGGAGCCCAAACTGGAAATATGAGCTTGAACACACAGATAAAATATGTTTTATATAATCTCTAATTCTTCTCTAAGCCTAGTCTGATCTAAGCTTCCTTACTATGTTGAAATTCAAAAACAGATAGGGATCTTTTAAATGCACATATTTTGAAGAAATATTTGATTTTACTAATGTTTTATAATTGGATGTCATAATAGAAATACTGTAATTAAAATGAGCAAAAGCACCCCATATAAAGTATTCAGTATTACTATTTCACCAGTATCGTTTTACATGTGATTTTCAATACACATACAACAAATACAATAAAGACTCATTAATTTAACTAACTGTGACAAAAGATTAACAGGCATTTCTCTTTGATTAACATAGAAGTAGTATTAACATTAACCACTTCAATTATAGTTACCTCCACAAGCTTCCGTTTTCTCATCTTTAAAATAAGGATGGATATTCTTCACAAAATACTTAATCAAAGTGTTAGCTTTCAATAAATGTTATTAAAATTTTTTTATAGATGTACAGAGCTCTGACATATTTTCTAATTCAAATAGACAATGGTGTCCTTTCCATGTTAATGTTACTGTATCCAATAATAATAGAGAGGCTAAACTAAATTATTCCACATTCAGAATTAAGGGATTAACCTACGGTTGTTCATTTTGTTATGTACAATAAAGCAGTCTCATGGAAATGTTACATATATCAATATATTTGGTTAGTTCTATATGTGTTATTTTGATCAACTTTTTCACAGTATTTTTGGCCCATCAAATGTAATTTGTACCTAAGGCATTCCAAACTTCCTTCTTCCCACCATATTCCTGAAGAAGAAGAAAACACAATTGTACCATAACACTTTAAAGAAAGTCTCAGAAAATGTTAACATGCAAAAATATTCCCCAGAATGGCATGAAGATGAATTGAAATTAACTCCTTTTTTTATTGAGGTGCCCAGGTTAGGCATAGTTTATTATTCTTACCGCTGTGCTGGTAGTAATTGTTTCTTTTATTTTTGATATTTTAGCTACTGTTTGATCCAATTCTTTCTTTCTTTGTAAAGTATCCTTTCTTCTAAGTTCGCAGTTTCTTTTAAATTCGTCAATCTATAGTGACAAACATACAGTAATCATTATAATGACAATCTATAGTGATAAACTGATTAAAAACCTCTATTAGGAGAACAAAATCCAGGAAATCTTTTTTTTAAATTTTTCAACCTAATTCATACAGATGCAGCTTCAGAACTGTCAATGGCGACCAGCTAAGATGGTGGCCTCTCCTTTTCCCTATATGGCTGCATATAAGCAAGGTGCCACCCCAGTGTCACAAATCTTGTCACATGTTCTTTCCCATGGACTGAGATGCTGCTACACGATCAAATGTCTTCCTCAAGAGGCTCCAAGTGTCCTGAGTCTCCTGCTCTATTCCCATCCCAATGTTCACAGAAGATACCACAGAGAGCGCTTGTCAGCCTTGAGGACAAATAAATCATTTCCCATCTCCTGCCCTAGATTCTATACAATTGTGTATTTTAAAGAATAAGCTAAGCCGCTTACCTGTGTAGTCAGCTGTTGTTTTCTCATCAGATATTCCGCTTTTTCTTTTTCCATTCGCTCTTTTGTCTCTTGAATACATGCTTTTTGCAATTCTAGGTCTTCTCTGTCCAAGTTTGTTTGGGTAAAAATCTCATTTATATAAACAGTGGCAGTGGCTTTTTCCTCCATCGTTCGGTTGAGTGACAGGACAAACTTCTTGTGCTGCCTGGATAGCTCTTCCTGCTTCATACTGGGAGGAAAGAATAGCTCACAGCATGAAAAGCACGGCTCCCAGGAAAGGAATAAGGTCTGTTCGGTGAGATGAGCCCTCATCAAGAGGGAAATTGGAAGGGAGACTTATTCTATAGTTGTGTTTGTGATTGCCTAAACTTGGTTGAGATGAGGACAGAAAGAAACACAAAACAAGTGTCAACCTTGTGACTTTTACCACTGCAAAAATGTCCAGCGGTCCTGCCTCGTGCCCGCCCTGCCCCACACCAGATAGTGACCACAGGATAGCTTGGTCTAAAGTACATAATGAGTCAAAAGTGGTTTGGAACAGGTAAGTGAGATCTGGGCAGTTGAATGTTTTGATATGTATCATCGCCCCATCTATCGCATCATCCAGAGATACGTAGTGAGCTAGCTTTCTTCCGGACAGAAATTAAGGAAAGAAAGGCCGAGTCCATCTTTACTGTTTAGGGGATGCTTGAAACCTGATTTGAGCAATCTTAGTCTTCTCCCTGCTACACCCAAATCTGAGTTCAAGAGGAGGTCATCGATCTCACACACCCATTGCTGGCCACATCCATCTGATGAACACCTACAGACTGGGAGAAACATCTCCCTCAGGGCTAACAATAAATGATTTACAAGAGGGACAATTGGTTCCATTGTTCTATTTTCCTTTTTAAAAGCTCCTGCATTGTAAAGACCCTTTCCCTTTTTCTAGTCCCCAGAGCTAGAGACTTTAACCCCGGGGCATTGTGTTTGAAGGATCTGGACAATGGAAACATGCTGTTGGGAGTTTATTTTGCAGAGGTCCAACTCCATAGCAAGAATGCAATAGAAAGCAGCCTAGCTGAGATAACCAGTACTTTGTGTGGGTAACAACTGAAGCCTTATAAGAATGAATCACCCTAAGGATTGAAGAGCTTCAGGGAAGCAAATCAAAACAAGTCAAATCAAAAAACCTAATTAGGTGTGTCATGTTGGGTTGAGAAGAGAATATTCATGAGCAGAATGTGATGCCTAAAGAAAACACACCCAAAGAGCTGTCGTGTATCTAGTTTTGGAGGACCGTCCAGGAGAAGAGATGTGCTGACCACCTGTCAGATCTTGTGGGCACCTTGATATGCATCTTTCTTTGAAAAATGGATGCAACCAGTGACTGCAGCTAGGTGATGCTAGCTGACCAAGCAACCTCCTTCTGCTTGTCATTTGCCTTTCCATGAAGGTTTAGAGCAGTGGCTCCAGCGTTCAGAATGAGCAACATTAGCATCACCTGAGAACTTGTTAGAAATGTAAATTCTTGTCTCACCCTGCCCCTCCCGCCCCCCAAACCTGCTAAATCAGAAATTCTGGAGGCTGGTGTCAGTAATTTGTGCTTTAAAAAGACTTCCAGGTGATTCTGATGCATGCTCAAGTTTGAGAATCACTAATCTACAGGGGTGTGATATTGCTGACCAGTTGATATGAATAGCCAGCCTGGGTATTATTTTTCCTGTTATTAGTTTAGAAATAGTTTGGTTTATGTAGCAGTCTCTGGTGGTTGTGGCTAGCATGCACCATGCA